CCGACTAGAAAACGCCTGCGGGGGAAAACGGCTATCATATTCGGCATTAGCATGGTCGATTACCTATTGTCCACTAGGTTTCAAGCCAAAAGCGATGGGGCAGTTGGTGGCCTTCCCTCGTTAGATATTTATTTGAGAACAAAAAAGTAAAACGAACCAATACAATAAACTAAAATCCAAAGAGGTTGTTGCAGGGGAAAAAATAGAAAAAGCGCATACTGCTCTTACTAGACTGTGACCCTTCTAATTTCGACAAAGAAAACAAACAAAAAGAACGAGAGAAAGATAAAGTATTAAAGTTCTAAGAAGTCGTTTAGCCTGTGCTTGAACAAACTTATGCTGTTAGTTATAACAACGTGCTCTGGTAAGCCATTCCACTCAATTGTCGTTCTGTGAAAAAAGGAATACAGGGTGGCATAGGTCTTAAAAATATCTGCCACAAACTAACTGCTCTAGAATGATTTAGCCTGCCAAAATGCCTATTGGTATTATATTGAATAAGATTGAGATTCGAAAGAATGGAATGATTGTTGAAAATCTTATAAAAATGAAGTAATCTGAAGTATTTACGTCTTTTATATAAATTTGATAAATTTAATTTCTGTATTAATTCAGAAACAGAGCCATCAAACTTTTTAAATATAATTCGCGTAGTCAATTTAACAAGAGTCAATTATTGGTTTTAGCTGGCAAGTATTCTTTTGTCGGATAGATCGAATCACTTACTGTTATATCATATAGTTGAGTGTGTATTCTGTAAGTATTAAGTTTCAAATCACCACTATCACTGTACTTTTACTGACAATGAGTAGTTTTTATTGACCACGCCTTCTCTCAACATACCAAAATAATACATCGTTTTATTTAAACTCAAGTATTGTCAGCAAAAATGTATTGATAGTGATAATTTACAATTTAGATCTATATAGAAAGACTTTCCCAATATATGCACTAGGAAGAAACAGAACAAATATTTACAACCTCCTCAATGATAAGAATTCTTTCGTGATAATACGTACTCATAGAAAACAAAAAAAAAAATTGTTGTCATACTAGAAAGTTGACATTGTACAATTGGTTCAAAAGTATATCACTGACACTGCCCAGTTTAGAAGACAATGAAAAGAAAAAGAAACGAAAAACTGTAGTAATACGTGTCTATAGTTTAGCGACACGAACATTAAAGTATTTTATTACCTACAGCAAAATTATATTTTTCTTTTAAGTTAAGTTTCTTTCGTTTTTTTATATATGTGTATATGTACGTGTGCGTGCTACATACTTCGTGTTGTGTGCACAAACAAAACAATAAATAACAATTTTTTTTTTTTTATCGAAAGACATGAATCAGTCAATTTTTCTGTGTGTATTATGGTTAAATCTGTGGTTAACTAGTGTAGCACAGTCCGAGTCTAAAACATCATCACAATGTAATGGAAAGAATAACGATGGTATTTTAATTAAAAATTTCGATGATCAAGTTCCTCTTAAATATTTAAATTGTACTGGAAATGTAAATACTAAAATAATAAAGATCTCATTTGAAATATCCACGACGAAATCAGTCGATCAATTGTTAACATTATACACGGGACCGTGTTCGGGAAGTAACGCTTATTTATATACTGGTCAAATGATTAGTTCAACATATGGAACGTTGAATAATGAAAAAGAAGCATATTTATCATCTGTTAAATTATCCAAATCTGCACCTGTGACAGGAACAATTATGTATGAAGATGCCTATGGTACATCAAAATTAACTCTAGCGTTGATTAATATAAGTACAAGGAAGTATGATGATAAAAGTGATGAAATGGTGACAGGAACATATGAACTGAAATATGTCAACATTAGTTACGCATAATATATAATAATGTATCAATGATATTCGAACACGTTACTCTTTCAGTTGTCGTGTATAACATAAAATATTAGTTCTTTTCGATTTCTGTGTAGTTTCGAGTAATCATGTCAATTTGATGCGCATACAATGTTTATATTATTTAGTCTTCTTTATCATTAATATAACAACTATTTTCATTTCATTTATAATTTTTAATTAATTCTAATAGTATATCAGTCACATACTACTACTCAACATCATCATCATTCCACTGATAAACGTTGTTATTTGATTTTTATTCCTGCCCTTATCACTGGCACCATACCACGTAAACAAGAAAATGAAAAAAGTAGCACACAGACATAGAAGCGTTACTTTAACTCAGAAATTAATATACCACCGATGTTATATGATACACCATGATACCAGCATTTCTTTTGTATCAATTTTCAAAACAAAATTCTATCCTTCTGCAAATGATAACCGATCAGTAAATCTAACAAAATGTATAACATCTACATTTTTCTTCGTATCAAATTCAAATTTGGCACATATCTTTAAATATTATGTAATTGTCTAATGACATCTTCTATAACTCATTATCGTCAATTAAATGATGAGTATTAATACCGATTTACCAAAGTAAACCAAATTTAAAAAGGCGTAGAGTTCATCGACTATACTCATTAATACCGTACTATTCACAGTATCATCATCGTCTATTCTTAACTGATGATTAGAGAGTTCAATAATGCTTATAAAATTTTTATTACTTGTTATTGTTCATCTATTATTAGATTTGTCATAAAATCATTGTTAAAATGTACATAAAACCGAATAATTTGTTTAAAAATTTTTAGATTAAAGAAAATCATTCACGAGATAAATAATTTTCATAATAAAATTCACGTCAAATACATTGAAACAATTTATATGTTACGTTTAACGGATTGAACAATAATCAACATATTTATGATTTTTCAGTCGATCTGTGGATGATCAATAAACACTTCCAAATAGATACTAACAAGGTCACATATAAAACAATGATGCCTACCAAAATAACTGTATAAGTCGATAATTTTTCGTTAATAATCTCGAAGCCAAGATATGCATCAAATTCATATACTAGAACACCATGTATACAATAGCATTATCGTCTTCGAACACGCTTACACCGTTCATGATGGTAAAAGATTAATGGAAATTATTTTTTGTATATGAAAATATTTTCGTGTGGATTAAATTTGCTAATTTTTTGCTTTTGTTGTACATATTTTATTTTATTTTTGGAAGTTTTTCGTACAATAAGTTGCTCTTTGTCGTTCAAAATCAATGAATTTTCATACCCACTTAGTTTTGCACATGTATAATGTCAGTGCTTAATCTCGTTCTGTCCATTTATCGTGACAATATACACAGAACATGTACAAAAATAGAAGAAAGTAGAGAAAAATGTATTCAGGATGAGAGTAAACATAAAAGAAAGGAATAAACGCCTTTGCTTTAAACGTTCAACCGAATTTGCGTTTCTTTCTCAAACAGAAACATTATGCCTACAGATTTATTTAGAGGTTAAAAACAAAAACGAATCATACAAAATAACTTTCCAAACCATCTTCCAAAAAAAGTGACTTGTTGTTCTATGATTTCACATAAAAAGTAAAACACATAATTCTTTTGATAGAGTTAGAAAAGAACACAAAAAACCAAAACTTTTACAAATTATCAGCAAAGCAAAATAAACTACTAAGCACTTATAAGGTGCTTGTTACCAGTGTGTTTTACATTTACAGATATTATCGCACACAATGTTTAAAGATTTTTATAGAGGGAGCATAGTTATAATAGCCTTCGAAAAGATTATAATTCCTACTGATGCCCAAATGTTTTTGTTTTAACCATAACTCAGCAGATGAGTGGTCTTTTAGCAAACGGTATTCACCAAAATATTGCCCATTCCTCCAAATATAACGGGTGCGGCATAAAGAATGTCACCATTTCTATTTTTCGGATAACTCGGTTGGATTTCATTGTAGAGAGTTGAGCTTAGTCTCAAAC